GGGGACTTGGATGTGAATAACAGGCTTCAGCTGAACTCTGTCAGTACTGAGTGACCCTGGGGTTTGGGTCCTCCAGCTCAGGAATCATGCCATTTTTGGACTGAATGGGGTTGAACTACCCCAAACATAGCCAGTATGCAACTTAGAGGAGGGTCCTCCTACATTCACAACTCCTGATTGAGCAGCAGAGGGATGTGGGTGTCTAGAAGGACTTTTGCACAGCTTTATGCTATGTGCCCGTCTGCCCATTCCCGGACCAAAATGCTCTGCTCACATTCATACATGCCCTAGTTACCTTCTGAATGGACTGCTGTAATGCAGTCTACACAGGGCTACACTTGAAGAGCTTCAGCAGGTGCAAAATGCAGTGATGCAGATAGTTATGTATGCTGCTAGAAAGGTAGTTGTTATACCTCTGCTCTTTGAGCTATACAGTTTCCAGTTTTCTTTTGGGTCCAATTCAAGATGTTGATTTTGACCTTTAAAGCCCTTTGTGGCCTAGGGCTGGATTATTTGAGGGACTACCTCCACCCAATTACTTTTGTCCAACCAATCAGGGCTGGCAGAAGAGGTATGCTGCCAGTCCCATCTGTGAAAAAAATTCAACTGGTGGAACCCAAGAGGTGGGCCTTTTCTGCCATGGCACTCACCTTGCGGAATATCATCCTGCCCCACCCTCTAAAGTGAGATTGATTCCATCCTTGACATCCTTCCAAAAGTCCTTTAAACAGGGGTGTCAGCAGGTCTGGAGATTTCAAGGCCACAATAAGATGATGAAATGGTTGCACTGTTTTTAACACCAATTCACTATCGTTAATAAAAATATTGCTGATGCATTTTAATGTAGTTTTTAAAATTTGGATATTACTATTTTTTATTGTAAGCTAGCTAGAATCACTTTATTGTGAGATGGGTGGTTATATAAATATCAAAAATGAACAAACAAATAAATGGAATATTCTACTTTTCCTTCTTTTTGCTATCCAGCCAGGATTTCCTACTCAACATGCTGTCCCCTTCCTATTTTTGCAGGCTACTAACGCTTGCTTGAACAAGAAATGTAGTCTCTCAGGTGAGAGAAAAAGCAGATAGTACAAGGAACACCAATCACCTCTTGTGGGAAAAGACAAACAGGCCTTTTTAGACAGAGGCGAAATGAAGTGTTAAAAAGAAGACTGTTTATCCTTCCATTTACAAGGCAAAGGCATTGTAATTTCCTTTCTGTGTCTGTGTATGTACTATGTCTGTAGGAGGCCAGTCCTCTTCCCCCAATTTACAAAAGCTTCAAAATAAATAGAGGAAAATTAAATCTGAAGCACTCTGCATTTGCCCAGGCATAATTAGTATTGCTAAACCAGCACATTTACCTGGGCTACTCCTAACTGATTCAATCACACTTAACTTGCTGTGTGGCTAAATTGACGATTGCAGTTTTCACTGAAATGCAATCTTGTCACCATGCGAGGTATTTATCTCTCTGTCCTTCTAGTTTGTTTTTCTGTTTTTGTCTCCCTGCAACCGCTTAAGGTGAAAGCCCAAACCAAGCTGCCTGCAAAATAAGACAAAATTTACAATTGCAACTTGGTTGAGAAAAGCAGAGGATTCCTGCCTCTTTTATCTGTATCTAAGGTTATCATCTCTCCATCTTCCCTGGCTGGGCTCCCACTTTTCTCCCCAGACACAATGGGAGGGAGGAGAAGAAGCCGAAGCAGATGAGAGCTGCAGCTTGGATGCCCCTGTCTGTGTTATTGTATCCATTTTCCAATGGCAACGATGTGTGAAATGAAAATTGGACAGAGCTGGCTGCTCACAGACCTGGAATTTCATACAGACTACTAGTGGAAGGAAGGAGGGAGGAAGCAGAGAGACAGAAAGGTGTCAGGAAGGGGGGAGAGAGTCTTCTGGATGGCTGCACACACCCATGGCCTGAGTAAGCCCTACTTCAGTTTAATAGACCCTTGGAGTGGAAGTACCGCACTCATTTACATTTCATTACTCCAAATGCTCTGCTAGCTCAAGATATTTGAGAGCATTTACAGAAGCAGAAAAGTTGAAGAGAGGCCCAGAAGGGTTGTGGAGTCCCTCCCTTCTCTAATTCCTTTTGCTACCTTCTAGCAGCCATTTTATAAGCATCTCTTTATAGGAAATGCTCCCCTACGTGACACAGATTTTCTCTCATGTG